AGTTCCTTGGAAGAAAGAAGCTTCCTAAAAAGGCAATTTTCTACGGATGGAGATGTTGTGGGAAAGAGTTTTTTTTTATTTATATAGAATTTTTAAATTCTTAATATTAAAATTATTATATTGCTTATATAATTTAATTATATATTAATTGTTTTATTACAAAAAAATAAATTTGATAAATTATTATTATATAATATTAATTATTTTTAAATTTTTAAATTTAATTGTCTAAATATAATTGTAAAAATAATAAAGTTGTTTTTTTTTAAAATTAAATATCAAATTTTATTTTTGAAAAATTAAAATGAATTTATATTTAAATTATTAATTTAATACAATTTTGTAATTTAAAAAATAAAAAAAAAGTTTACAATGATAAATAAAAATTTTTTGAATTTATTTTTCATTTGATTATTTATAATTAAAAGATTTATTCAATTATTATTATTTTATTATTAATTAAAAATATTTATAATATACTTGTGACAAGACTTATCTGTCTAGATAATTTATATACAAACTTGTTTATTATTATAAAAACTATGGTTTGAATATCTTTTTAAAATAATTAATAAAAAAAAAAACTTGTTATTAAATTAAAATAATATCAAATTATTTTTTAACAAAATAATTTACACCATCTTGCTTTTTTTATTATAACTAATAACATTATCAGATTTATTATTATATAAAATAAAATATATAAAAACTATATATATTGCTTATATTTTTTGCTATATATTAATCAAGTAATCTAAAATTTTTAATTAATTATTTAGAAGTTTCAATACAATTAAAAATCCAAGATCAAATTGAAATAAGCAAAATTTTTTTAAAAAATTTTTTAAAAATTTTATATATTTAAGAGAGTAGAAAAAAAACTTTAAAAAATACAAAACAGTTTCAAAAACCAGGTAATTATATTTTTTAAAATTTTAAATCTTTGAAAAAAAAATATATTATTTTTTTAACATGCTTTTTTTTCTAATGGAATGATATAAGTCATTGTTAAAAAGAATTTATAAGAAATTAAAGAACAAGAGAATTAATCATGCTGCTTCTGCTATTTATTTGAACAGGTACCATACCGAATGAAATCTCCATACGATCTAGACAATCCATCCTAGAATTATTTTTTTTTTAAATAAAGTTTCTAAGATTTCGGTTATTCTGGTGACCAAGTGTGTCCTTTGGTTAATACATGCACACTAAGCACGATAATCTACAACTTGCTTAGTATTGTCCCTATTTAGAAGCATCTAATTTATAAATTTTGATCAGTGCCGTTTACTTCCTAAGGACTTCTAACAATATATTTTCTAGATACCATAATGAACTAAAGATATTTTACGACTTATGAAGGCACATCAGTATCTAGATCGTTTTGAGCCAAATATGAACAGAGCTTTTCATTTGTCAGAATCAAAGAAACAGCGAACTGTGTCATGTGGTTAGGTCAAATAATTGTTTGAAGTTACTGGGAACTTATATACATATAAAATTCATCGGTAACCTTGATTATGCAGAAAGAACTTTGGAGTTGACGAAGGTAACAAACATAAAGATAATTTTGCGTATTACCGTGAATGTTTTGAAACGACTCGGGATTTTCCTCCGAGGGCTGATCATATGTATTTAATTGTGTTCAAGGATCTTCCGTTTCGAATTTTTTTCGATTACTGTATAATTTTGTTTGCAAATTTCTTTCTTCATCTTTTTGAAGATGCAGTTGCATGTATTCAGTATATGTATCTGCATACGAATACGTTTAGAAGATTAGCCAATTTTTTATACCCACAAACGATTGGATTTTTATCTTATTTAAAAAGTTGCATGTTTTTTTTTTCTTTATATCATTCATTCGTGAGTGTTATGAAAATAATTTTCAGATAGAGACAACTTTCGAAATATTTTAAGAAGTGAGTTCATATTACTGTATGAACAAATTGGATCGATTGTGATCGATCCATTGTTAGCATTTAAACTAATAATAGGCTTTACTTCATTTATTCACAAATACATAGATATCACGCCCAAATAATTATATCATATACATATAACATCATCTATCTATCATTATCTGAAATAGACGCGCGTCAACCATTTTTGCATTTTAAAAGTTTACATTTATTTTTTTTCGACAACTTCATTCTGTTACACAGAAACTATCTTTTATTATCATTAAAAATTTCAATTCTATCCTAATTCAAATTTACGGTCATCAACTAATAGCGATTTCGGATCTGTATAAAAAAACCCATCTTTCCAGGAAATGGATTTACACAGTTTGATAAATCACGCTTTGGAGATGGTGGTTCCTCAAGTAAGAACGAGGGTCGAAGAATTCCACGAGGAATGGAAATGCATTCGGAAATTTTACAATGCGTACAGCGAGAAAGGTAAAACCTACCAGTTCTCCCTTTTATTGAAGATCATCACTAAAGACCATCTCTCTGCCTCATCATCAACATAAAAGATCTGTCTAAAATGAGCATATCATCCACAAATCTCCCTTCTCATCTTGAGAACATGATACGTCGTCTAAAAGAAGAGGAGATCGAGTCAAGAATTAATGGCGATCTTACCAACCAGCATTGCTTGGATTACGTATTAGAAAACAACATCCTCGTGGAGTTGCTGGATCATGCTCAATACGACGTATGTAAATTTCTTTATCACGAGTCATGATTAAAAAGTCACTTTGCAAACGCTATCACAAATAACCAAAAAACACCTTGACCAATGTTAACACATTTAACAACAGCTTCCAAAAGGAATGAATGTCCAGGTTCTAAATTTTTTCACGCACCTCATATCGAACATCCATACTCATCTACTCTCACAGTCAACGATACTTATGACATTCGAACGACTTGTGAAAGCTTCGTATGAGACGAATAAAGAAGACACACTTCTTAAGCAAGGACTGGTTCAGTTGATAAGTGTTGTAGTGCGTCATATTAATATTCGAAATGAGTTAGCCGAGTTGTATTTCGATGGGGAGAAAGAGGTATGCAGTTTGGTAATTAGTATTATTCTTGTGATTACTGAGGGTGAAAATAATTTGTCTAATGGCTATAATTTTCCATCAAGTCTGATTTCAGAGTATTCATAATATTACTTGATTATGTAAACATCCCCGGTCGAACGGGAAAGGTATCGAGAGAAGCACTATTGTCTTTAATAAATTTATGCAAAGGCAATAAAAAATTTTTGGATTTTTTGGAAAAAGGAGTTCAATTTTATGAGATAATGGTATGTCAGATGTTTTTTCATAGAGGAACGATTTATTTTTCTCTCTGAGATACGTTATTTAATCAAGGACCATTGTCTGCGAGTTTCCTTTTTGGCCTTACTAAACAACGATACACCTGCCGCGGATGGCATCGGAGGCAATATCTACAAGCGACAGTTTTCTGGTGGATACTTGAGTAATGGTAGCCAACCTAGCGAAGATCTGTCAGGCGCGAACGACTTCAAACCAGAGATAGTCACTGAAGAATTCTTAGATCTGTGGTCGTTTGTCAATAGTGTTGCTAGTATTGAGTGTGAGGTGAGGCTCTTATTATTGATTCTTGTTATTCTATTCTAAAATATAACTTAAATTGATCATTACATTTAATGCAGACAATCACTTTAAGGTTGTTGGATACTTTCTCTGGCGGATTCTTTAAATATGCACTGGTGTCAGGATTGTTAAATCCGTTAGTATTGTGAATTCGATACTTTTTATCCCTACCTTTATCCAATACTAATCTTTCAATTAATCACTGATACCTGATATCGCTAGTCTCGATGACCAAGCAACGGTCGTAACAATATATGTTACAAGAATGATAAAACTCACAAGACTACAGCCTATGTTGAATTGCATCCTATCAACAATCTTTGGTGCAGATCTTGATCCAGAGGTAGCACTCGAAGAACCAAACCTTCAACAAGACGTTGGAAAAACCACACATATGCAGTCACTCAGAGAAATATTGATAGAGCGTGCTGGAAGTTCCGAAGATTGGCTTTCCTTGGAGACGTTAAGGTTATTTGATTCCATACTCGAATCATTTAATCAATTTGGCTTTTATAGTTTGATATTTCGGAATTTGGTCGACTTCAATTCCGTAGGATCTCAAGACGACAGAAACACGATTACATGCAAGAAGGTTTCATCACGAGTACAAAGGAATCCGAAAGCATTTGTGAAACACCTACTTGCGATAATGCCACAGGAAGATCGTACGTCAAATATGAGGCATTCAAAAGCAGTGGTTTTAGAGTCTGTGGATAAATTAAGCGAAAAAAGTATATTTAGCTATGAATATTATTACCTCGATGCTCAACGACAAGTGCAAATGGTGGCCACAATACGCAATCATTGGTTACCATCACCACCATCAGCGATGAAAACCAAAGATAATAATCAACTTCCTTTAAACGTAAATACCAATATCAGGAACAAATTCTTCGAGGGTGCATTCATGAGAATGATATTTGAACAATTAGAGAATTTCCTTGAGGCACCCTTAGAGAGAAACTTGATTATCACAAGTATTTTGAATAAGTTAGCATCTATAGTTGATGAGAGAGTTGATTGGTTGCTGTACGGTGAAATTGATCTCGACCCGGATAATCCACATCACAGTCAATTCCAACAGAGTAGAGAAAAACGAAAAAATTTGGTCAAAATTTTGGAAATGGTGAGTAAAAGAATTTCATTTTTTTAATATCAATAAGTTACCAATACGCTTGCGAATGTTTCAAATGATGTAGGTAGCATCAGAAGCCGAAAAAAGTTCGGCAAGTATACCAAATTTTCAGACCCGTATACAGTTGGCCAAACGACGCGGAATGAATAGTTCAAGGAGGATGTCCCTCCGTCGAGGAAGTTCAGTAGATTTAGATAGCACACCGATGTCGCCTGTATCCCCTACTTCTCCCAATTCTTTTAATGCATCACCAACATCTGCGCAATATAGAGACATTAATGTAAATCCGTTTGCCAAGTTCACAAATTTTGTAAACGCGTTCATCGTGTTGCAGGAATTTTGCAAGGAATTGGCTGCTATTGTATATGTGAAATATATGGATTCGGATTCGGATTCGAGCACATCGATAGCTGAAGAGGAGGAAGAAAAGGGAGAGACGGAAGAGGTGGTAAAAACAAATTACCGAAAAAACCATTATTATAATCGCCGACATGCGAAACAAAAGAGCATGAGCTTTCTTGACAACCTCGAGACGAATCAAAATAACAGATTAAGTGATTCGACAAAAGATGACATAGCTTTAATGAGAAACGGTGAAAAATTTGCTAGATTGGTGGCATTGATAGAGAGACAACAGGGCCATGCTCAAGCATTGAAACATTCCTATCATTGAAGATTGTTGGCGATTTAAAACAGTCTGCAAATTTGAATGAGGTAGCATTTATTTTCGATGTTGAAGCATGTAATTAATGAGACAATAATATTGATTAATTAAATTATTGAATGGATCATCCTTTCAAAACGATCTATGAAATTATGAACTGATGTTACCAACGTTACTAGCACAACGACGGTCACTTAACTGGAGTGACTATAAACAATTTGTGATAATTTTTGTCATTGCTTTCCCTTGGTCAAAATGTACATAATATTATAAATCATTGATTTATAGCCCCATATAACGATAACAGTATGACGTTGTAGGAATCTGAAAGCTTCCCCTCGCTCTCATCGTTGGTGAACATTGAAATATGCCATATGGATTTAAAAAACGACCCCTCTCTCATTATGTTCTGCATCACGATCGGCGAAATCGATGATATTCGCGGCGTGTTAAAAGTGTTAATCAATCCTATAAAAAGTTAGCATCTCCAACTGAGTGAGAGATCACAGAGGATGAACGTTGATTATTGAGTAATATTGTTAGAGAATTCTTAATATGGTTTAACATGATTTTCGCTAATGTGTACGGCACATTGATAAACTTTTTACGATGAGAAAAACAAATACGTCGACTTATTTTTTATTCCCGATACATAGCAACCTTCTGGTAATGTAGAGTGTCGAATTCTACAAAGAATTGGGGTTTGATTGAATAAACGTGAACAAGAAGATTCTTTGATGGAAATCATAATCTGATTTAATAATGTCAATCTACTGTGTGTGTACAGTACTGTGAATAAAACATCTTTTTCTATTCTTTGTAATTTTGTGCTTGAGAATTTCATTACAGGATACTATTATCTGTTAGTAAATGCGGCATAGGTTTTACATAACCATCATCATCTTTACAGTACTAGAATGTTGTACCAATTGTCATATTCGATCGGTAATTGAAACCTTCGAGAACTTGATGAACTCATACTGCATTGAGTTTTGTGTTGTGCCAATGTAGTGGTATTATGTTTCCATATCCTTCGTCGCAATTAACGATATTACGGCATTTTTCTTGCAGACTGTAAAGACATGAGACGCCTGCAGTGATAATAACCGTTTACGCTATGAATATTCTTTTATCCCGTCCTACAGCTGCTATCTTTTATGTGGAAGACTTTATTTGTTGAAAAAGGAAATGCATGTTTCAGTGTTTTCGAATGTACTACAGTACAATTGGCTGTCGAGAATCTTTTTTAAATGAGGATTTCGTTTTTAAAATTCTTATTGCGTACATAACCTCATTACTACTTTATCACATAATACTTTCTTTTCAATAACAAAAAGCTCCATAGACTAGGTTTTTTTATTTCCTTTAGCAACCTCTCAACTGCGTATTTATACTGCGCTGTATTTTGTTTTATAAAACTTGAATGATATACACAAAACAAGCCACGACGTAAGTTTTCCGATTATGTATTTATTTTAACCCGTTCAAATGTGTAAGAAGTTTTTTGGAGTTTTCAAATAAATGATCAAAATGCACTTATTACTCACAGGAGTTGTCATTACATATATAACTAATTCTCGAATCACGAAACTATCGCTTAAAATCACTTCATTGAAAATCATTGGGTATACTGTATGACTCGTTATACGTCATCTACTGTATTAATCACTGCATATAAAAGGTCGCGATTTTGTATGAAACGCTTCAATTATTTGATAATTTTCACGAAAACGCGCACGTACATAACAACGATAATTTCGTGAGAGAAATAAGTCAAGTTTTATTTGACGTCCAACATGCCAAAATCAAAAGGTTCCCAGACAATAAAAGGAACCAAAGCTGAGAGCTCTTCTCTCTCAAAGAAAAACCTAAAATTAAATACCCCTTCTATTTCCCTTCTACCAAAATGTACTCGCAAATCAACCATGAAACCTACCGTCAACACGTCGACGTTTTCTTCCACAGACCCCAAAACCGGGGAAAAGGTCGAGTTTGCTGACAAAACCATGCGAGCTTATATCATTCTCGCTGAATCTTGTGGTTGGAAAAATGTTGACGGCACAATATTTCCTATTTCCGTGGCGAACCTTTGTAATTATATTCGCACAAAAAAATCCACCAATAACTTGCAAAGTATCAAATGGTACCTCACGGGATTCAAGAAGTATCATCAAAATTTCCTTCACAATCGAGAGTGGGATGCCGTTTGTAAACATCCAGATGTGATAGATTTACTGAATGAGCATGAAACAGAAGAAACAACAAAAAGAGCTCATGGAATTTCGAATAATGAAAACCTTGAAAAGTCAAAGATTCGCGAGCAGCAAAGCATCAATGGATATAAAAAGAGTGTAGAATTTTTTACGGAATTAGAGTTTCCATCGGTGAACTTTGAATTTTCAGGTACAAATTGAACACCTGCTGTCAACCAACAATATTATAATGATATTAGTAATAGGTAGTGAGGGAATGAACGCCTTTCCTGAATCTTGATAGATTATATTGAAAGAACAATACCATATTCAATACTATAGTTACAATCAAAAATATAACACTGAAATTAACAGAAACTTAAACACCTATTAGGAAAATAATTAAATCTATTTATTTATTTTTTTTATATCAGAGAAGCAAATATGTGGTTCTCAAGGACTTCAAAGTTTAGGATCGATTCCTACATTCATGAATGGCATTATTTCTCAAAGTACATCAGTAATAGTGAACACAACCGAAAGCAATGACGAGGAGAGGGAAATGTGTGAAGATAGCCCTCAAGTTGGTAAATATCATTTGAATAAAAATCCTGTCCTCATCAGTGTTTACCCCTTCAAAGAAAACTAAGTAGTTATTTTCGTTCTTAGGGAACGGTTCCCCTCGGAAAAGTATTGCCCTGCGCAGGAGTAAGAATAATTTTATTTAATATGTGCCTTTCTTTCTCTCTTATTCAATGTTGGATGTAATTAACATTAGGTCATCGCATCGGAAATAGTAAGTCTGAAGATCTTTATGAGGTGAGCAACTGTGCAAACAACGGAAGACATGGTTTCGGTTCCATAATTTTATCGTTTTAATTTATTTCCATAATAAAGGAACCCTTGAGCTTCAGGAGTCGATTCAAAGCAGCCCTTGTGGGCTTAAAGGCCAAGTATTCGGGACATTGTAGTCATCATCCTAAAGGATGTTTTCTGGTAGGAAAAAATAGGCACTTTATTATTACTGATCAATTGTTCAAGAGGTGGGCTTCGTTGTGTGTGAGTATACATTAGTTTTTTAATATGCAATACACATTTATATAAAACTATACTTATATTAATTATTTACTTATTTGTAATACCTATGATTTTTATTGAATTTAGGCATCGGGTGAAGATGTAACTATTAATCATTTACCTGATTCGGAAGACTTGACCGAATTTTCTGTCAAAAATGCTGTTTGGATAATCTAAGAAAACAATATTACCAAAGATTGATAATTACATATATACCTTCATTACTGGATTACTGGTATTGCATTTAAGTTCTTGAGCAAACAAATAAATTCATTAATTATAATGAAAAATTATTAAATTCACAATTGTCTGCATTTTAGAATTTGTATCGCAACTTTCTTGAATAATGAATTTCATTCGATAAGGGAATTTAATTAGATTGTTGAATGTCAAAATAACTATTGCATAAAAATAATCAAATGAAAATTTTACTAACATTATTCAAATTATTTGATATCTAGCAGTGTTTAAATAACAAACTTCTTATTTTATCTGATTTTTTTTTGGATTTAATAAATTTTACAATTAACAACATTCCTAAGACATACAGTATAAAGTGGAAACTTATAGAATAGAGTAGAATAGCGAAAAAAATGTAAACATATAAACAATTTGCGCATGTACAATATATGCGCGTGTAAAAAGAGTTAGTTAACATTGAGAGAGGGTTCTAAATAGTCAATAGAAAGTTAAAAGTATAAACCGGTCAGACTAAGATTATAAGCTTTAGGTTATTTACCCTTAATCGTACATAACACGAAGGACTGTCCCGAATTTACGACAGACTTGCCGATTGCATTCATAACATTATCTTTTCTTAAAGCTCATTAAGTTTATTATTTCTATTAAACATTAACAATAAATTTAATAACTGTAAGTTAACTTTATAAAAGAATATAAGAATATCTCTTATGCAAATTGTTATAACAAGATATCTTATTTTTCAAATTAATAAATCAGTATAAAAATGCATGCATAATAAAACTTAACTTTTAATAACCACATTCAATATATTGAATTAGAAAATCATATAATTAGTATCTTGAATGGGTTCCAGTTAATCTCATTCGGATTCTATAAAAAATATATATACGTACACATTTGTACAAAGATTCCGAATATCAAGATTTTTATTATTAGCATAATTGAATATTTGGAGAGATTGTTGCTAGGATTAATTGTGAAATATTTTTCCCAAATAATATTTCTTTCTATATAAATAGGTATCTCTTATGAGTTTTGATTGTTGCATTGATGTTATATAAGAATCAAAATGTTGTTTTATGATTTGGAACTAATTCATAAGATCTAATTAAGTTTTTGATATGATTATATAAACTTAATAATACTGTTGAGATTTAATAGTTAATTGATAAACTTTATACCAAGAGTAGGAATCAAAGTTTTAAACCAAAACTGATTGATTCACAAATTAGTTTCAATTCAAATTAGTTTGGTTTTTAAAATTTTTAATCTGATAAGATTTAAATCAGTTTTAAAAATTTTTATTCTAATCAGATCAAATCTAATTTTAGATTCTTTATATTTTGTATTTAAATAGAATCAAAAAAAAAGAAAAATTAAATTAAAATGAAATCTATCAAACAATATAATAAAAAACTCAAAAAATTTTTATGATTTAAATCTATTCCCTTTATTTTTTACTATATCACATTGTAAATAAAAAATTGTTTAATAATTTTACTTTGTTTTTATAATTTCTTTATATTTTAACAAGATTGTTATATTTTAATTTTTTTTTGTTTAACAGTTATTATTTAACTATTTTTTAATCATTTTTTTAATTATTTTTTTTAAAATAAAGCATGAAATTTCTTTTAATAATATTAATTTTCAATATATTAATAATAAAATCAGTTATAAAAACAGCAATATCAGTAATATTATTATAAGTAAGTTGTTAGAAACAGTATTATTCTTTACAATAACAAACAAAAGCAAAGATTAAACTTATTTATAAAAAATTTAAATTTTAAAAATATTAAAAAATTATTATAAAGCTACATATGTCTATAGTGGAGGTAGTATTATTAATATATATATATCTATCTTGAATATAACAAAATTAAATTGAAACATTAATGGATCTAATATCAAATATTATTTTAATAAAACAAAGATAATAAAGTTTTATTTATATTAAATATTTGATAACTATATAACTTTAAAAAATAATAAAAACTTTTTTTGCTAATCCTTTTGCTAATTCCAAGAACAAATATTTTTAAAACTTTTTTTTTTCTGAATTTTTCATTCTAATTCCAAAACATATATATATTAAGTTCTACTAACAAAATCAAAATCAATCAAATATGGATTACTAACAATCTTTTATATTTTCTTCAAAATTCAAATATCTATCCAACTGAAACAAACTTTCAAATGGCTACAAAATAATCAAAATAATACTAAAATTATATTATAGCAAATAATTAAACAATAAAAAAAAGTATGTAATCTACTTAATCAATATTCTAATTAACAATTAATACAAACTACTTGAATTAAATCTTTAAAATAAACTTTCAAATTTTAATTCAAAATCAATAAATAATATTTAGAAATACTATTGCAAAAAATTCAAAAAACCTATTCTTCAAAAACTATTATCAAAAAATATATCTTTTCTAAAAAAAACTTATTACTATACAATCTTTTTCAAGAAATTAAATGTCAAATTACATATCTTAAAAATTTTTTTTTCATTAATTCATTAATTATTAATTTAATTATTAATAAATTAAAAATCTATTCTTTATCCTATTTTAAAAATCTTCAATTAATTTAATCTCTCTCAAAACTTTTCAAATTAATATACAAAGTTCATAAACTTGAAAATCAACTTCAAACCAATGAAGAAATTATTAAACTTATAAACAAATATAGTAATGATTACAAGAAATAACAATTGCCCAACAAGATGTTTTGATTGATATAACTTTGCCAAATTTGGTCAAAATTTTGTCATTTAAGCATACAATAAAGGTTAAGTGATATCTTTGTTTTTCCAAGTATCTATTTTTTAAAGTTTTAGAAAAATTTTTATCTTTTGTAATCTTAAAATGTATCCATCCTGATAAAAAAGTCAATGTCAAACTATATTACATTTGTAGAGGCACAAAACACATAGGTCATCGAAATATATTCTATTACGAAAATTCCACTTAAGAATATCTATAGAAACCTCAAAAAAATTAGAAAAATTAATTACATAAAACATAAAGGCTTCAAAAATCGAATCAAAAAAAATAATACCTAGTGTTTCCTATGCAATTGGTTAATATATTCAAAAAAATTCTATCATTTCTGCTAGAAATATTGTCGCCAAGTTAGAAAATATCAGAATAGACGTTTCCCACATTATAATATCAAGACATTTGAATAGTCTTGAATATCATAATGCTCTTCCTTTATATACATCAATACTCACACCTGTTCATAAGAAGAATCATGTTAAATAGGCAAAAAAACATGTAAATGATAATTAGAAAAAAACTATATTTAGTGACAAAACAGCTTTCCAACTATTCTACAATACAGTGAAACAATGGTATAAAAATGCAAGACCAATTCACTGGATACCAAAGGACAAAATCAAAATATTTGCATAGAGGGTTGTTGCATTAAAGATAAGACGAGTCTTTATTGTTTTTGGCAAATTATAAATAGGAAATTCTACACAAAAATATTAGAAAAGCATATTCCAGAAATGAAGTGTATATTAAAGGGTAAGTGATAATTGCAACAGAACAATGACTCCAAACACATTAGTCATATTTTTTGAGAGTTTCTTAAAGATAATGTTCTGAAAGTTTTAGACTGGCCTTTTAATAGTTCAGATCTAAACCTGATTGAAAACATATAGACAATAGTTAAGATAAGAGTGGAAAAGTATAGACCTAAAAATATCAGTAAATTGAAAAGTTTTATATATGAAGAGTGAAATGGAATTCCAAATAATTTTATAATTAATTATATAAATTCAATACAATGATATTGTATAGAGGTTATTAAAAAAAATGATAAAAGAATATTGTATTAATCATTTTAAAAAAATATATAATGATATTTAACTTTAGAATAGTATATTATATAAAAATTTTAAGATGGCAGTTAAGGAGCTAGAGTAATTTTAGTGATTATCATTTCTTGTGATCATCACTGTATATTAATAATTTATAAAACAATCCAAAATGCATAATACAAAATATTTTAAATCTTAAAAATTCTCTATTAATTTTAATAAACTTATTATTTTTAAAAAAGAACAAAGTTATTTTTAATCTTATTAAAATATATACAACTATAAAAAAGTGTTATAAAATTATTTTTTGCAAAAGATAAATACATCCTCACTAATAGAAAATAGAAAAAAAAATATTTGCCAATTCTCTAATATTAGTTATATAGTTACTATAGACAAGCTAGCATTTAACTTATTGTATTAACATATAAAAAATTTTCTTTTTTTTTTACAATATACAATCAAACTTAAATATATAGAGCCTTCAGACTAATTAATAAAAATTTATATAATAATAAATTTTTTATAATAAATTTTAAATAAATTCAAAATTTAAAAATTTGCTATAACCAATATTTTATTACAGTTTCATTATAAATAAATTTGTTATATCAAGGTTTGATTATACTATATATTTTAATATATATAAATCAAATAAAAAAATAATTGAAATAACAAATAATGTAAAAAAAATAAATAGAATACTTGTATTAAATAAGTAGGAATTCATTATTGTTATATATAATAAATATAGTATATTTTTTATACATTGCTGAAACTGCCCAATTTTTATAAACATCACTACTTAATTGCCACTTAATAGTTACTTAATAGTTAAATAATAGTAACAAAGCAGTTACAGTAGTGTTAACTACTACACTACTGCATTTTATTGCTACTAAATAGCTATTAAATTGCTACTGTATTGTTATTATATTGCTACCATATTGTTACTAAATTATTATTATTTTTTTTTAATGTTAAGTGAGGCATTTCTCACGATCTTTATTAATATAGTAAAATAAATTGTTACATGATTAATATTAA